GTATGCTATTCTCTTTCCTCCTAGTTGTAGAACTTCCACTCAGCCAGCCTTCCTGTGGTTCTGGATGATGTCCGTTCCGTCTTTTAGTTGTATTTTTGAAGTGGTTGTTCGAGGCAGCAAACTCCGGCGTTAACCTATGCCGCCATCTTGGTTTCTGTAGTCTGAAGCCTGTTTTGAAAACCCATGCCCTTAAAATAATAACTAACACTACACATTTAAGATCATACATGCATTTTTAGTTGGTTTACTATTTTGAACTTCAAAATAAATCAATGTATATTTACAGTGCTAGAGCACTGGTCTACCACATGAATTTATTCAGACACTTTGGTCCCCCACAGACAGGTGTGGTAAGGCATCCTAGTCTATATTTCTTCATTTTCCTGTCAATCAGAGGGGAGAAGGGTAAAAGTGGTCATAACCATGACAAGAACTATACAAGTCATTTATTAAAAACTGTCTTATAGTTGGAAAGAACAATCTGGAAAAATAAAAAAATAAAAAAATAAAAACTGTCTTATAGTTTCATCTTTACAGATGACTAGCTTAGAGAAGGGAAGGAAGGGGTGGTTATTTTTGTTTGATATGTCCCAGATGGAAAAAAACTGGGAATCCTCTCTTTTCAACATGCAAACCAGATCTGTTTGATTCAATTTAGGTTTGTTTGTTTGTTTGAACACTGGCTTAACATGAACATTGGAAAGTAATTTCAATTTTAGGTAGATTTTATTAGAATGTACGCAAAGAGCTAGAAACATACATTTTGTTTTGTTTTTCTCAATAGTTTAAAAAAAATCACACTAAAGGGAAGTAAAATTAAGAAATACATAGAGCACGGCCGGTGTGACTCAGTGGTTGAGTGTCAACCCATGAATCAGGGGGCCATGGTTCGATTCCCCATTAGGGCACATGCCCGGGTTGCGGTCTCGATCCTCAGTTGGGGGGTGTGCAGGAGGCAGCAGGCCGATGATTCTCTCTCATCACTGATGTTTCTCTCTTTCTCTCCCTCTCCCTAAAATAAATAAAAACATATCTATCTATCTATCTATCTATCTATCTATCTATCTATCTATCTATATATATATAAAATACATAGAGCATACTGATCAACAAAATTGTTTAGCTTAAAAAAATCAGAAATTTATCAACGCTCTAAATGAGTCAAACTTGAGTTTTGTGTCTAAATAGTAATCCTCCAAGATTAAAAAAGAATATTAAAAACAATTAGAACTGAACCAATTTTCTTCTTTAGTGGGAGAAACAATAGATCAATATGTGTTTTTTTGGGGAAGCTGAAACATTAATGAAGGTTATATAGGAGCAGGCAACAGAATACAGAGCTTCAAACAGTTAAAGGTAGCTATAATTTCATAGTTACTTTTTTTTTTAAACTTTACCTGAATACTTTAGTTTTCTTCTTTTTCAAGTGGTTCTATACACAAGTTACAGAGAATTCCAGATAAGTGAAATTTTATGTAACATAATCAATTAACTTTACGAACATGTCTTGTTCTGCCCTCCAATCAACCTAATTCTTTTTATAGTCCTGTGTGCTCCCTTATAAACAAAACAAACACACACACACACAAAAGGAAAAGCTTATACTTACTAGAAAGAACAGTTGTAAGGAAAATGTAGTCGGAAAAGGAGATGAGTCCACATTCTCCAAGGGTGTAAAATATACTGCCTTCATCAGCAAATTTTTCTCGTTCCTGGGCAATTTTCTATTAAATATATGGGTCCCAGCAAAAGATAAAAAGAAGATACAGTAGAATGAGAACACAAATAGTTAAAGATGAATTATCATTTATCTAACAGTTTTATGGTATTTATCATAGGCATTTTTCTGATGGCCATTCCAAATTAATGGATCCTTTACAGTTTTCAAGATGATAAAAATTATAAGACAAAAGATAATTTTGTTTGCTTCAATACTGGCTTACTATGAACATTGCAAAATAATTTCAATTTTATGAACTCTTGCCATTTAGCATATACAAACCCAGTTCAGGGCTAGTTTTGTTTCTTAGTTTTAAAAACAATCCATCTTCTTCTATAGAAGTATATGAAAAAAAATCAAAACAAACAAATAAAAAAATTAAAGTGAAGTCAGTTCCAATTTACTAAGAAACTATACTACTAGTGATTAAAAATGAAGAGGTAAGCAACCAAGGCTGACATAAACATTCAGAAAATTAATTTCTGAAATACTAATTTTAATTTTTCCTATGACCCCCAAGAATCTTAGTTTTGGAATGTAGATAAGCTTGCAGAGTAAACAGCATCTCTAAAATACATGCACGCCAAGCTCTAGACATCAGTTTATTTCATTATATTTACTGTTACCATGGTGGAAGCTCTTAATTTCAGCTATTTGATGAAACTCTTCTAAAATGCAGCTATTACTCAAAGAGAGTTAATTACCAGCTTCAGTAATGGTCTGTCTGGCAAGTGGTCTCTTCCTGGATGCTTAAACAAACCTACTCCGTTTTCTGAATTCCTAGCTGAATTATAAACTTAGTAGTGACATTGAAGATATTTTCAGAAACTGAAAAGGATCCAATAAAGTGTTAAGATTTGAAACTCATTTACATAAGTTCTGGGCCAACCAAAGATATTTAAGGAACTATTCTGGTGCCAAAAAAAAAAAAAAAAAGAAAGAAAGAAAAGAAAAAGAAAAAAATATGAGGTTTCAAAAACCCAAAGCAACAAAGCACGATCAAAGTAATAATGTCATGCAAGTGCAAAATAATAAGCAGCATTGCAAACATAACCTTGGGAGAAATATCATGAAAACTAAACCAACAAGCACCACCACACCAGCATCCAGGTACACACTATCCGATAGGTTACCTCTGTCTAGTGAAGATCCCATCATATACCATAAAGGAAAGAAAACTAGTTAACCAACTGAAAACACAAGTACCAAGTGAATTACCATGATCTTCTTAGTAAGCCCACTGATAGCCTTTACTGAATATTTGTTTGTTCATATGAAACAGTAACCACAGAAAGGTTAAAATCCATAGTTGAATGTCAACAAAGCAGTACCAGGTTTTGATGGCAGATTCCACTCAGGAAAGGGCTTCTCTGCCTCATTCATGATGGACAGAAAGTATAGTCCTGCTTGACAGCATTTAGAGATTATTTCTTTGAGCCAGCAACAAAAATGAGCACATAGCCCAATCTGTTCAAATTAAGGTTAGATCACATACCACACTGGACCTTCTACCAAGAGATTAAACACAAATTACAGTAAAAAAAATACTGTTGGATGAAAACAGGAGCAGCAAAGCCTTTCACTGGGAAGGTAATATTTTAATTTCTCAAAATAAAGGAAGTAAATAATTTTTTTACACTATTCAAGATACTGCAAAAACAAAGCATGTGAATAAGAAAAAATACACATAATGAGAATCGTATCCCAAAATTATACCATCACTAGGCAGAACAATAAATGTGCACAGAAGCTGAGTACTTCATATTATGTAATAATCTTATGGAGAGAATGCTATAAGCAAATAAAAATAAATAACATATTGGGATCCAGAAGTTGAGAAACAGACAAAAATCAAAGGGCAGAGGCAGCTAAGTCACAGAAGCATATCTAAGATTATTTTTCTAAAAATCATCTAGACAATGCTGCTACTCAGAAGATACAGAAAGACAAATCTAGTTTTGTTGGTAACTTTCAATTTTGATACAATTTCAACTCAGAAAAGTGGAAAGACCCATATCAGAACTCTTGTATCCTTTTTACTCAGATTCACTTATAGCTTACACATTATCCTATTTGTTTTATCATTTTATATAGATATATATTTTCTTTTGCACTATTTTGAAAGTTGAAGTTATATTACACTTAATACTTAATTACTTCAGTATGTATTTCCTACAAAGACATTCTCTTACATACCACAGTATAAATTTAATAAAACCAGGATACTTAATACATACTATTATCTAATCCATAGTCTACTTTCAAATTTAGTCAGCTCTCCCAAATGATTTCCTTTATAGCTATTTCCCCCAGTCCAGGATGTTATACACAATCATAAATGGCATCTAGTTGTCATGTCTTTTTAATATCCATTAATCCAGAACAGCTTTCTTTTCCTTTCTTTATTCTCCCCTTTGGAAGCTTATTTTTTTATTGTGCTAAAATTCACTATTTTAACCATATAAGATGGCTTCTTTCAAATAACATGTTTTCTAGGTTCATCCATGTTGTAGCATCAATCAGTATTTCTTTTTACTGCCAAACAGTATTCCATCATATATATATACACCAAATTTGTTTATCTATTCATCCAATGAAGGATATTTGGGTTGTTTTCACCTAGGACTACAATGCACATTGTACAAATATTTGTTTGACTATCTGCTTCCAATTATTTGGTGTATATGCCTTAGAAATGAATCTTGTACTCTCAGACAGGCTAAATGACAAAAGTCCTAGCCAACATTTCACTGCAAACTCATGAAAAAACCTGAGCCAGAACCATCAAGCCAAATTGCTCCCAAACTCCTTATTCACAGAAAGCAAGAGAGACAAGTAATGATTATTGCTGTTTTAAGCCACTAAACTTTGGATTTTCTTTTAGAAGACTTGTAGTTATAGATTTTACATTTAGGCCTGTGATCCATTTCAAGTCAATTTTGTGTATAGTGACATAGAGATAAGGTTTAATATGGACATACAGTCGTTTCTAAACCATTTGCTGAAAATCAATTGACCGGATAAGTATGGATCTACTCTTCTATGATGTTTTCTGATTTGAGTGGCCCATTTTCTTTGGAAGGTCTTTCGATTACTAGCAAAGTGTATGATTATTTTTCAAAGTATATACAAACATGGGATTATATAAATGGTTTTTAAAAGGCAGCTTGAGAGACTCTGCCTGAGATCCATTTGGGGTCATGGTTTAGGCCTAAACATCCCCACCACTAGGGCCATTATAAAGTTTGCAGAGATGATAAAGCTGTCATCGAACAGACCTTCAGTTGTATATTAATTGAGAATTGCTGTAGGAACACATCTCCAGGGGCTATATTATAATGACATGTTACAGTGCTGAATCAATTAGTGTGACTTTCCCCAGGAAGGTAAGCCCTCCTCTACTGCATTAAATGGGATATCTCCATATTTGCAACCTTCAGACCTCTAAAGGATAAAATATTCTGTTTGTGTGGTTATATACGAGACCTCTGCTGTACTGAGAAGAATGATAGGGAGCAAGAGAGGCCAAGAGAATGCCAAATTGCTGTATGTAAGAAAATACTGAAGAAGATAGCTAGAAGGAAAGAAATAGAAGAAAAGAAGACCATAGGAAGGTGAACAAAAAAGGAGAAAGAGCTGTGACCAGAGAGGAATAAAAAATATCAAAGTTAGGAAAAATTGAGGAAAGAGAAAGCATGTATGCATATGTATGCACAAGTGTTTGAGAGAGAGAATAGAGAATCTGTGTGTTCTGCAGTAGCTCCTTAAAAATAAGAAAGATGTTTAAAGAGGATTTTAAAATTTGCCATGCTTTGTGACGTGCCCTGTGCAATACAATCTTCTAAGTGTTTAGAGTAAAGGTCTATATTGTTCTTTCATGCTTTTGGAGTTGGGGTTGAGGTACAAGGAGAGAAAGAGAAAAGTTACATATATTCTTTCCAAGATATCCACTTGTCAAACAGTGGTTCAGGTATAGTTAAATTTATACAGGGGTGGCAAAAATAGGTTAATATTAATAAAAATAATACAATAATAATACAGGAATAAACTGATTTGTGTACTCACAACTATAAACCTACTTTTGCCAACTTCTGTACATCTAATTTATTAACTCTAAGAATTTATAAGTGAGTTGTTGAGTATGCAAAATTCCAAAGACAATTCTTATAAAATTCATGACATATATTAATTACAAACACCAAAAACTGTTACAAAACCAGCTGAATTATATAAATGGTATTGGCTGAACAAGAATGATATTAGAGCCCAGCTGGCGTGGCTCAGTGGTTGAGTTATGAATCAGGAGGTCACGATTTGATTCCCAGTCAAGACACATGCCTGGATTGTGGGCTCAGTCCCCAGTAGGGAATGTGCAGGAGGCAGCTGATCAGTGATTCTCTCTCATTATTGATGTTTGTCTCTCTCTCCCTCTCCCTTCCTTTCTGAAATCAATAAAAAATAATTTAAAAAGGTCACAAAACAATAAAATTCAGTCCCTCAAATTATTTAAAGCTAGGAGGAGAATCAAATAAATATGTCAAGCCCTGACCGGCTTGGCTCAGTGGATAGAGCGTCGGCCTGCGGACTGAAAGGTCCCAGGTTCGATTCCGGTCAAAGGCATGTACCTTGGTTGCGGGCACATCCCCAGTAGGGGGAGTGCAGGAGGCAGCTGATCGATGTTTCTCTCTCATCGATGTTTCTAACTCTCTATCCCTCTCCCTTCCTCTCTGTAAAAAATCAATAAAATATATTTTAAAAATAAATAAATAAATAAATATGTCAAAATTTGGGAGGAAATGGGAGTTACTAGAAAACTAATTTTTAGACTATTTTATGTTATATGGCTGATTCTTAGCTGGTCTTTTTAAATCAAAGGCCTGATTGTACCATAAATTTTACCATTAGATCAACAAGCCATGGCACATAGGGAATCTGAAAATATTGACATTTGAGTTTGATAATGAATAATTTGTTTAAAGGTCCAAAGAATGGTAAAAATGGGAAATCAAGATTCAAGGAAGGAAAAGTGGAGGGAAAGTTTTTGGGACTCCAAAGTCTCATCAATGTTTAATTTTGCAAATTGAGAATGTCAAGTAAAATGTTCCTTCATTTAATTTTTGGGTAATGTCTAATCTTTGACTAAATTTTAAGTAATTTCTTCCCTAAGGCAATATCATTTATATACTTTGAGGTGATATGGAGGCACAGTCCAAGGAAAACAATGCTCCTTAACAGATTGGTAATAATGTTCATCTTCTCGGTCTCAAAGGTGGTTATTTATATATTTTTGTTATTAATGAATATTTGTATTAATATGTATTTTTACTAGAAAATCTAACATAAGAATTTGAATTTAACATACATAATAAATTCAATATAAATAACAAATATAATATACAAATGAAAAGGAACAAGTTTGTATAAAAGTAAAAGAAAATATCGTAAGGGCCCATAATGTGAGATTAAGTAATATATTAAGATATCAGTTCAGTAAAAAAACAAAAGTAGTAAGGGTCTATGAGAAACTTGTTTCATAATGAAGTTCCCGAGGTAAGACTCTAACATTACACCAGTATATATGCTGAAAATTAAACAGAACTAGGTATTTTAAGAAGAAATTGTAATAAGTTACAGAGGTATATTTTTTAATGCACTTTAGAAGTTACATATCAAACTTTATTCCAATTACCTGAATCTCTGAAATTAAGGCTGTGAAAGCAGAATGCAGGTTAACTGAACAGAATAATATTTCTATTCAATTTACTGACAAGTGTTACCCCCTTTTGGAGAACGAAATTATGCAAAATATTTCAAAGCAATATTCTCATTGACTTAAATAAATTGAAGTTAAACTATTTTATTATCCATTTATATAACTTAGTCTTTGATCTATTTGTTTCAAATTTGAAATATAACTTAACACTAAAACATTCCAATTACTGACCTCAAGTAAAGGCAAATGAATAAATAATCTCATAAGAGTACTGTATTGGTATTGACCGTAACTGCACCATGTTCTAAATCTTTTTATTTTTGAGAGAAGCAGAAAGACAAGAGTAGACTAGAGCAAATCATACCCTATACATGTGTAATTGCTGCACCTCTCAGTGAGTCTACTCTATAACCTGAACTGTTTTAC